TAGACTTTTCACGACCCAACTAGGGAACATCATCAGTGCTAGAAGGGAGTGGGGTTTGTAGAGAGGAGGAGTGGGAGGAAGAGGAGGAGTGGGAGGAGGAGGAGGAGGAGGAGGAGGAGGAGGAGGAGGAGTGGGAGGAGAAGATGATGTGGGGTCCCTGGTGGTCTCTGAACTTGGTGGTTTTCTTGTAGACTTTTCACGACCCAACTAGGGAACATCATCAGTGCTAGAAGGGAGTGGGGTTTGTGGAGAGGAGGAGGAGGAGGAGATGTGGGGTCCCTGGTGGTCTCTGAACTTGGCGGTTTTCTTGCAGACGTTTCATTACCAAACTAGGTAACCCCATCAGTGCTAAGGAGAGTGAGGCCTGCTCTCTGCAAACAAGCTACTTGTACATAAACAGAGAGCAAATCCACTTCCTTCCAGCACTGATGCTAATTACCTACTTGGGTAACAAAATGTCTGCAAGCAGACGGCCAAGCTCGGGGAGCACCAAGGACCCCCACAGTTCAACCCGAGCCTCTTTTTGTTGATATCAGCCAAAGCTTATGACTTTCAGTTCCCGGAATCCAGTTTGAAGTTGGACCTGCCAAACGTGACGGGGCGCCCACTTCACAACTCCACAACCTGGGCTGTGTCACGAGAACGGGGAGCTTCAGTTCTCCGCTTCCATCTGGAAGCCATAAGCTGCCTTTTCCGTGATTTTGCAGCTCAGCAGCCTTGCCCCCCCCCGTCCATTCTTGCACTCATCGCTTCCCTCAGTCTTCCCCGTCTGTAAAATGGGCTTCAGACAGTGGGGCGTTGTTTTTTTTTCGCGACGCCCGAGCGACCGTACCACAGAGGCCCGTTCTGCGGAGGCATGTGGCTTTTCTCCCTCAAACGTCTGAAAAGTTAAATTAAAATAAAATAAAAAAATATCAAGCTTAGGGCTGACTTGACGGATTGAGAGTCTTTTTCGGTGGGTTTTTGCAAAAAGGGGGGAAATCTTTTTTGCAGCCCCCTCCCCAACTTAAGTCACCCAACCCTTCTCTTCCCTCCATTGTACTCATCCCTGCCCTCAGCGACGGTTTCAACCTGTTTTATATTTCCCTGCAGAGAGAGAGGTTGAAAAATGTCGAACGGATCTGTTGCCTTCTGAGAAAAGTGAGTATGGTGCCTTTTTCCACTGCATTTAGCTTTCTTTTTTTGCCCCCCTAAAGATTCCTCTCTAAGGAGCGCCGGTTTCTTGATCTGTCTGTCCAAAGCTGAAGGACCTGAAGTGTTAATAATCACTTTCTAATGCCTTTTAGCGAGGTCACGCTTGGAATGTGGCCTCCATTTTTGGTTTTCACAATATTAAAAAAAGATGCTGAGAATCCGGAAAGAGGGCAGAGAAGAGCAGCAAAGATGATTAGGGGACAGGGGGCTAAAACATACGAAGAAGAACGGTTGCTAGAATTGGGTTTGATTTGTTTAATGAAAAGAAGGACTAGGGGGGACATGATAGCAGGGTTCCAATATTTGAGGGGATGCCCCAAAGAAGAGGGGGGGGGGTCAACCTCTTCTCCAACGACCCTGAGGGAAGGACAAGAAGCAACGGATGGAAACTAAACAAGGAGAGAAGCAATCTAGAAATAAGGAGAAATTTCCTGACAGAATATCTTCCTTCCTTCCTTCCCTCCTTCCCCTTCCTTTCTTCCTTCCTTCCTTCCCTCTCCCTCCTTCCCTCCCTCCCCTTCCTTCCTTCCCTCTTTCCCTCCTTCCCTTCCCCTTCCTTCCTTCCGTCCTTCCTTCCCTCCCTCCTTCCCTCTTTCCCTCCTTCCTTTCCCCTTCCTTCCTTCCATCCTTCCCTCTTTCCCTCCTTACCTTCTCCTCCCTTCCTCCCTTCCATCCATCCTTCCTTCCCTCTTTCTCTCCTTCCCTTCCCCTTCCTTCCTTCCTTCCTTCCTTCCTTCCTTCCTTCCTTCCTTCCTGTCCATCTGTTCTAGCCAGCCAGCCATCCACCCATCCATCTTCTATCTCTATGTCTGTCTCTCTGTCTCTCTGTCTCTCTGTCTCTCTGTCTGTCTGTCTGTCTGTCTGTCTCTCTCTCTCTCTCTCTCTCTCTCTCTCTCTCTCTCTCTCTCTCTGTGTCTATCCATCTATCCATCTTGTACCTTTTTCTCCCTCCCTCCCTCCCTCTCCGTCCCTGAAATGCAAATACAGCTATCAGTAAGATCCAACTTCTTTCTCAACAAAGTTCTGACTTTCTAAAATGAGTTGTAAACCCCAGGGTATTTGGGGGCGCTCACCGCCAAGGGTTATTCTTGTCTGGAAGTGTGGCTATGTACAAATATACGCACGCACATACACACACACTACAAAGGGAGGTCTGTTCCTCTCAAATCTGTTGCAGTTTGTTCCTGTCAGTCTAAATTAAACTGAAATGAAGGAAGGAAGTGGTTTGTGCATTGGGGTTAGTGATGGGGAAGACTCAGAGGTTCAGTTTGGGCAAAATTACCCAAAAGAGATTAATTCAGCCTGGTGTAAGAAAAGCCTTAATTTGACCCCTTAATTTGACCCTCCTCCTATCTTGAAATCAACACAATGATCACAATATATTGCATTATATTGTTGCATTATTATAATACATTATGCTGCATTACTATATTGGATCACTGCATTATACATTATGCTGCATTCTTATATTGCATTCTTTTATTGCATTACATTGCATTATTATATATTATGCTGCATTCTTATATTGCATTCTTACATTGCTTTATAGTGCGTTGTTATGCATTATTATGCTGCATTACTATATTGTATTATGGCATTACATTATGCTGCATTCTTATATTGCATTATTATATCCCCATATTGCACTCTTATGGTGCCTTATTTTACTACATAATTATATCGCCTTTTTATACTGCATGATTGCCATATTATTCTTGCATTATCACACCGCATTGTTCTTAACATTATCATTTATTTTTGCAAAAGCAGATCCGGCTTAGGAACCAAATGTCAGCTAGTTCAGACTGCCATTTCTGATCGAGCGACGTTTGATAGCGTTTCCATCGCAAGCCCATCCAATCTTAGGTTTATGACAGAGATGTTGTGACACCTGACAATAAAACGTTAGGCTGTTCACACGACTGTCGCGAATTCATTAGTCAGCCAGGGACTATTAATAAGCGTAAAACCTAAAATTGATTTTTTTTTCCTTCTCTCTCATCTTTTCTGAGTTTTTTTTTTTATTTAGAAGATTAAAGGTTGCCTTGTTAATGATGCAAGCCCCAAATAAATAAAACGAGGGGGAAAAAATCATTCTTTTTGGGAGGCAGATGTGGCATCTCTGCAAAAAATCCCTTTTGATAACGTTGGCAGTCGCTCCGATTAGAAAAGGGAGCATCGAATAAATCTGTTTATATCAGACAGGATTTTGCGCAGGAGAAAGAAACCGAATTGCTGGGTAATTGTGTTGTGGGGGATTTTCTGAGGATAATGGTTGCGTATCCAAGGGGTTGCGAACCAACCGTAGGAACAGAACGAAACCACCGCCACAAAAATTCCAGCTCTTTCCATCTGATGGGGGAATTTGAGTTTTTTTTCCCCGACAGCTTGTGGTTCCGGAATATTCGATCCACGGACTTTTTTGCCTGATGTTCCTCTGTGCAGCTGAATGGGTGACTCTGGGCCTCAATATCCCCCTCTTGTTCTACCATTTGTGGAGGTAAGCCCCCCACCCCTTTATCCCTCCCGGCGGCCTCCTTCGCCAGGGGGGCTTCCCAGCAGACACCAGCCAGCAGAAGGAAAGCAACATCGGGGGGTAGCTGGCCAGGCAGAGTTGCAAGTTTTTAAAAAAGTATTTTTTTTTTAATTTTTGTGTTTAAAGAAGGATTTTGCTTCTTTCCCTTCCTTCTTTCCCTTCCTTCCTTCCTCTCTAATCCTTCCTTCCTCCCTCTCTCCTTTCTCACTCTTTTCCTTCCTTTCTTCCTTCCTTTCTTCCTTCCTTCCTTCCTTCCTTCCCCTCTAATCCTTCCTTCCTCCCTTTCTCCTTTCTCACTCTTTTCCTTCCTTCCTTCCTTCCTTCCTTCCTTCCTTCCTTCCTTCCCCTCTAATCCTTCCTTCCTCCCTCTCTCCTTTCTCACTCTTTTCCTTCCTTCCTTCCCCTCTAATCCTTCCTTCCTCCCTCTCTCCTTTCTCACTCTTTTCCTTCCTTCTCCCTCCTCCCTCCCTTCTTCCTTCCCCATTCCCCTCTAATCCTTCTTTCCTCCCTTCCTCTCTTTTCCTTCCTTCTTTCTCTCTCCTCCCTCCCTCCCTCTTCTTCCTTCCCTATTCCTCTAATCCTTCCTCCCTCCCTCCCTCTTTCCTTTCTTTTCCTTCCTTCCTTCCTTCCTTCCTTCCTTTCTCCCTCTCTCTTTTCTTTTCCTTCCTTCCTTCTCTCCCTCCTCCCTCCCTCCCTTCTTCCTTCCCCATTCCCCTCCAATCCTTCCTTCCTTCCTCCCTCTCTCCTTTCTCAGTCTTTTCCTTCCTTCCTTCTTTCTCTCTCTCCTCCCTCCCTCCTTCTTCTTCCTTCCCCATTCCTCTCTAATCCTTCTTTCCTTCCTTCCTCCCTCTCTCCTTTCTCAGTCTCTTTTCCTTCCTTCCTTCCTCCCTCCCTCCCTCCCTCCCGTGACCCTGGGATGCTTCCCCCATCACAAATAAATTTAATAAAGAAAAATCAAATCACTCAATAAATATGTTCTGGTTGCCAAGCACCTGAATCATAAACCTGTGATGACGGTCATAAGTAGAGAACCAGTTGTAAGTCACTTTTTTCAGCGCCATTGCCCCTTCGAACAGTCCCTAAGCGAAGATAAATAAATTCGAGGACTTAAACCTGTAAAAACTTTTCTTCCTGTACTGAAAATGAGAAAAAAGTTGGGAAATTTTCTTTCAACAGATGCTATTTTGTCGTTTTGTACGTCATTAGGCAATGTGTACATCCTTGTTTGTGGCAGTGTGCAAAAATAGACCTTAGCGGGGCAAATATGCGTATATATTTTCTATATATCGAAATAGCTAGTTTTGGTTCTAAAAAAAGAACAGATGGGACATCCCCCTGATTCTGTTTTGGAAATTAGATTCCGGGGTGTGGAAGAGAAGAAGCTTGGTGTTATCAAATAGAAAGTAGCAGGAATCCAATTAAATCCCAAATTTTAAAAAAGTCCCCAAAACTCAATTGTTTGGTTTTTTTTTTCCTCGTCCTTCTGTCTGAGTGTTGAGTTGGTGAGATTCGATCTCGTGATGATGAGTTGGTGAAGTTCCATCCTAATAAATTCAGGGCTGCTTTGTTTTAATTTGGAGCAACCCACTCCGAGTGTGATGGGCTTTCTTCTGTGGTGCAAAACCTCAGAATTGGCCGCGTTGAAGTGGCCGTTGATCATGTCGGGGTCAAAAGGGGCCATTCTGAGGCCACAACTGGTCATTCTGAGGCCACAGTTGGTCATTCTGAGGTCAGAATTGCTAATTTTGAGGTCAGAATTGGTCATTCTGAGGGCACAATTGGTCATTTTGAGGCCACAGTTGGTCATTCTGAGGACACAATTGGTCATTCTGAGGACACAATTGGTCATTTTGAGGCCACAGTTGGTCATTTTGAGGTCAAAATTGGTCATTCTGAGGTCAGAATTGGTCAGTCTGAGGCCACAGTTGGTCATTTTGAGGACAGAGTCGGTCATTTTGAGGTCAAAATTGGTCATTCTGAGATCAAAATTGATCATTCTGAGGCCACAGTTGGTCATTCTGAGGACACAATTGGTCATTCTGAGGACACAATTGGTCATTTTGAGGACACAGTCGGTCATTCTGAGATCAAAATTGATCATTCTGAGGCCACAGTTGGTCATTCTGAGGTCAGAATAGCTAATTTTGAGGTCAGAATTGGTCATTCTGAGGACACAGTTGGTCATTTTGAGGTCAAAAAGTGGTCATTTTGAGATCAGAATTGGTCATTCTGAGGCCACAGTTGGTCATTCTGAGGTCAGAATTGGTCATTCTGAGGTCAGAATTGCTAATTTTGAGGTCAGAATTGGTCAATCTGAGGCCACAGTTGGTCATTCTAAGGGCAGAATTGGTCATTCTGATGGTCAGAATTGGTCATTTTGAGGCTATAATTGTTCATTTTGAGGCCACAATTGGTCATCCTGAGATCAAAATCGGCCACATTGAGTTCACAGTTAGCCATTTTGAGGTAAAAATACTGGCCATTTTCAGATCAGAGTTAGCCACGTTGAGGCCACCGTTGGTCAGAACTGGACATTTTACAAGCCTCTGATTTTTTATTTTTCTTTTCCTTTATTCTTGTCTGCCTTTCTTCTCCCAGGTACTTTCACCGCCCGGCAGATGGTTCCGAAGTCATGTACGATGCCGTCTCTATCATGAATGCTGACATCTTAAATTATTGCCAGAAAGAATCATGGTGCAAACTGGCTTTTTATCTGTTGTCTTTCTTCTATTATCTGTACAGGTGAGTCCTGATTTTTACAGCTCTCCACGGCTGTTTACATTTTGCCCCACTTTTCTCTCACCGGCTACCCAAAAGTCACTAGAAACATTGCCACGAATGAGATAGTTCTCGACTTACGACAGGAAGGAAGGAAGGAAGGGAAGGGAAGAAAGGGAAGAAAGGCAGGGAGGGAGGGAGGAAAGAAGGAAAGGGCGGGAGGGAGGAAGGAAAGAAGGGAGGGAGGGAGGAAAGGAAGGGAGGGAGGGAGGGAAGAAAGGGAGGGAGGAAAGGAAGGAAAGAAAGAAAGGAAAGGAACAATGGAAGGAAGGGAGGGAGGAAAGGAAGGAAAGGGAGGAAGGAAAGATGGAAGGAAGGGAGGGAGGGAAGAAAGGGAGGGAGGGAGGAAAGGAAGGAAGGAAGGAAAGAAAGGAAAGGAACGATGGAAGGAAGGGAGGAAAGGAAGGAAAGGGAGGGAGGGAGGAAAGGAAGGAGGAAAGGAAGGAAGAAAGGGAGGGAGGAAAGAAGGATGGAAGGGAGGAAGGAAGGAAGGAAGGAAAGAAAGAAAGGAATGATGGAAGGGAGGGAGGGAGGGAAGAAAGGGAGGGAGGAAAGGAAGGAAGGGAAGGGAGGGAGGAAAGGAAGGATGGAAGGAAGGGAGGGAGGGAAGAAAGGAAGGAAAGGATGGAAGGAAGGAACGATGGAAGGGAGGGAGGGAGGAAGGAAAGGAAGGAAACGGAGGGAGGGAGGACTTGTCTGTACGTCAGGTTGCTCGGATTAACAGCCCCTTCCTCTTTCTCCTTTCCGCCTCTCGCCGTCCAGTATGGTTTATACGCTGGTGAGTTTCTAACCGAGCCAACCAAAGGGGCAGGACCCTCCGATCGACACCCCCCCCTTTGGACCCTCCGGGATGAATGGAGACCCCCCCCTTTCCTTCTGGACTTTGAAAGGCAAAGCCGAGACGGACTCACCCGTGCCTGAAGCCGATCAAGCCACCACCGCCTTTTTTTTTCAGAGGGGTGGGGCGTGTTTCTGCTTCCCCCCTGCCCCCCCCCGTGGTCCGGAAAACACCCACCCACCCCCCGTTATGATTTGGAGAAAGAAGCCAGCATCCTCCCCACGGCGGGACGCTTCCGGCTGCGTCCCCACTGAACTTTTTTTGGGGGGGAAGTCTGCAAATGGATTTGGGGGGCAGAAGATCCCCTTATCTCCACCCCCCTTCTATCTTCGCCCAGCTTATCGGCCCAGCTTTGAGTTTCTTCTCTTCCCCCCCTCTTTTTGGGGGTGGGGGTGATCTGGGGGCCAAAAATCCATTTCTCCAAAAAACAAACGAGGAAGGGAAAACCCACCACAAGGAAAATCCCCAAATTTGGCAACTATTTAATTGATTATGTGCTCGGGGTCCCGGAGGGAGAAATTGTTTTTTTGGGGGGGAGGGAGATAGCCTTCTCTCCTCTTTTTCTCCTCTCTGGAGAATGTCCTGTAGGATTTGGGGGGTGGGCTGGGATGCCACCCCCCAAAAAAATGGGCTGTTATTTTTTTCTCTTTTTTATTCCGGATGCTCTGAGTCCAGCATCTGTTGCTATGGCAATAGATCAGCCTCTCTCATCCCCCCTCCCTCTGCTTTTCTTTTTTTTCCCCTTTTCACACGCTCTGTCGTTTTCATCCCGTTTTCCCTCAAAATTACGAGCATCTCCATTGAGGAAAGCCAGCGTCTGTCTTTGGGGAGGGGGTGGTGGTGCATTTTCATATTAGAAAGACCCCCTCCCCCCTGCGATAATCAAGTGAAGCTTTTTTTAATTAAATCGTTCATTTAAACACAATAAAAAAATAAAATTTTAATGATTTTAACCAGGGGTGGGTGGGGAAAACTATGGATCCTAGCCCCCAGGTTGTTGTTTTTTTCTTCAGAAAAAAACCCCACCAGCTGGCTCAAAAGCGACAGCCTTAATCTGCTAGACTGCTCCTGGCTGTGGAGGCTTTGCTTTTCCCGATCCGGTGAAAAGGGATTTCTTTGGCCTTCTCCCGTTTTCACAAAAAAAAAAAAAGGCAGATTTTTGCCAGACGAGCAGAATTTATTTCATTGATTGACCGAGTTCTCTTTTGATTTGTCGGTTGTTGTTTTTTTTTTATTTTACAAATTGAAATTTTAGTTTAGAAGTCAAAGGAGGGAGATGGAGAGAGAGAGAGAGAGGGACGGGCCCGGAGTTGTTTGTTTTTTTTGCAATTTGGTGATTTTTGTCTTTATCAGCCACCCGCAGGATCGATGCCGCTTTAAAGGCCCACCTAGCAAAGAGAATTAACCCTTGTGCCAATCTAACATTCGCCAGGAAGGAGACCCGACCCCCCCCCATTAGATGAAAGAAAAGGTTTTAAGAAGAGATTGGACAGCCATTTGTAAGGTTTGGGCTGGGGGGTTGGACTAGAAGACCTCCAGGGGTCCCTTCCAGCTCTAGGATCCTCTTCAGGAACAAAGGCTTGAATCTAAAGGGCCGAAGTGGAATCAATATAATTTTAATTTCCTTCTTCCCTGGAAATTGACGATGATCCTGTTTTTTTTTAATAACATTTGAATTTCAATCCACGTGGCATTTCTTAAGAGCAGCAATTTCCAAACTTGGCAACTTTTAAAACTTCAATTCCCAGAATTCCTCAGCAAACCGGTCCACAAATCTTTAAAGTTGTGTAATTTGCTGACTGGGGAATTCTGGGAATGGAAGCTCACAAGTCTTATTAAAATTGTGTAATTTGCTGACTGGGGAATTCTGGGAATCGAAGCCCACATTAAAATTGTGTAATTTGCTGGCTGGGGAATTCTGGGAATCGAAGCCCACATTAAAATTGTGTAATTTGCTGGCTGGGGAATTCTGGGAATCGAAGCCCACAAGTCTTAAATTTGCCACGTTTGGAGACCCTGCCTTAACCCAAATTAGCACAAACCACCAAAAAGATTGTCCGCCCTGATTTCTTTCTTTTTCCCATATATTTTTCCATCTAGTTCTCTTTTTTTCCCTCTCCATCCTTGCATTTGGGGTGGCTTGTTCGGCAAAGCGCCCAGCTTGCGACGGGCTGACCAAACGGAGCAGGCAGGAGCTGAAACTCTGGATTTTGGGGTGAGGGGGGAAGGAGACCGCTGGACCCCACTTCTACCCCTCCTGGGGGCCACTGTATAAAACAAAGTCCGGTTGGAAATAAAGACGATGATTTGATTGTGGCCAGGAGTTCCGCTGTCTTGTGTGAACGAAAAGAAGGTGGATTTCCTTCGGAGATGCCGGCTCACCTGGAGGGCGTCTGGACACCTGCAGTGGGGGTGCCACCTTGACAGTTCTCGACTTAGCGACTGAAGTTACAAGAGCACCAGAAAAGGTGACTTACGACCGGTCCTCGCCCTTATGACTGTCGCAGCATCCACGTGATTACGTGGTCAGGATCTGGGTGCTTGGGAATTGGCAGGGGTTTATGGAAGGAAAGGGGGGGATGGCAGAAGGAAGGAGAGAAATGAGGGAGGGAGGATTGATTAGAGTGGGGAAGGAAGAAAGGATTAGAGAAGGAAGGAAGGAAAGAAGGAAAGATTAGAGGGGGAAGGAAGGAAAGATTAGACGAAGGAAGGAAAGAAGGATTAGAGGGGGGAAGGAAAGGATTAGAGGAGGAAGGAAGGAAGGATTAGACGAAGGAAGGAAAGGAGGATTAGAGGGGGGAAGGAAAGGATTAGAGGAGGAAGGAAAGAAGGATTAGAGGGGGAAGGAAAGGATTAGAGGAAGAAGGAAGGAAGGATTAGACGAAGGAAAGAAGGATTAGAGGGGGGAAGGAAAGGATTAGAGGAGGAAGGAAAGGAGGATTAGAGGGGGGAAGGAAGAAAGGATTAGAGGAGGAAGGAAGGATTAGAGGGGGGAAGGAAAGGATTAGAGGAGGAAGGAAGGAAGGATTAGACGAAGGAAGGAAAGAAGGATTAGAGGGGGGAAGGAAAGGATTAGAGGAGGAAGGAAGGAAGGATTAGACGAAGGAAGGAAAGAAGGATTGGGGGAAGGAAAGGATTAGAGGAGGAAGGAAAGAAGGATTAGAGGAGGAAGGAAAGAAGGATTAGAGGGGGGAAGGAAGAAAGGATTAGAGAGGAGGAAGGAAAGAAGGATTAGAGGGGGGAAGGAAGGAAGGAGAAATGAGGATATGAGGGGAAGGGAGTGATAAACATGGTGAAAGAAGGAAGGAAAGGAGGAAGAGGGAAGCAGGAAAGGAAGGGATATAGAGGGGGGAAGGAAGAAATACGAAAGGAAGGAAGGAAAAGATGGAGGTGGGAGGGAAAGCAGGAAGGAGAGAAAGGGACGGGCTGAAGGAGAAGGGAGGAAAGGCATGAAAGGAAGGAAGAAAGGAAGAGAATTCCAAAAAGGAGCGAGGGAGGAGAAGGAAGCGAGGGAAGCAGTGAGGAAGGAAAGGAAGGAAAAAAGGCGAGGGAGGGAGGAAGGAAGGAAAAGCAGGGAGAGAACTGAGTAAATAAGGAAGGAGAGGAAGGAAGGCACCTTGGAGGCAAAACCGGATATCCAGACCGGGGGGGGGGGGGCTTTCCTCAAACCTGCTGGATTGCTGCCGATTGTCTCCCCCCCCTTCAAAAAAATCCGAGCAGCCCCTGCAAAGGGGGGGGGAGGAAATGTGGGTGCTGTGTGCGTGTGCACACACGTGCAAAGAGCACAGGAGAGCCGTGTCTGTAGACGGTGTTGCTGCCATCCAGCCGCCCCCACAGCATTGAGTTCTCTCTCTCCCCCAGCCATGATGCTTAGAAAAGCTGCAACCATCCTGACATACACACACACACAAACACAACACACAAAGCACATGGGGGGGGGCTTCTGTCCCCAGGCCTAGAACGTAGCTAGTTTTTGGCTAGTTTTCCTTTCCTCCTCCTCGTCCTCCACCCCCCCTTTTTTTTGCATTAGTGACACCCCAAACATGCTGGGGGAAACTGAGGCCTGCCCCCCCCCTTGCATGCACTTGCCTGGAGGATCGACCGCTGTTAACCGTGACAAATGATTTTAAGGCGCCTGGATTCCCGGCTTAGGTAGCGAAGGCTTCCGATGCGACACACTGCAAATCCTCACTTTACAACAGTTCATTTAGTGACCGTAACGGCACTGAAAAAAAAGGGACTTGGGACCAGTTTTCCCCACTTAACGACCGTTGCAATCCCACGTGATCCAAAGTCAAGACGCCTGGCAACTGACTCGTATTTACGACGGTCGCAGCGTCCCGTGTGTGTGTGTGTGTCACGTGATCCCCTTTTGCGACTTCCTGATCAGCAATGGGGAAGCCAGATCCGCTTAACGACCGGGTTACTAACTTAACAACCGCGGGGATCCACTTTAACCACCGTGGCGGAGAAAAGTCACAAAAGCGGGAGCAAAGTTCACTGTCTCACTTAGCGACCGAAAGCCTGAGCTCTTGGGCGGTCGTTAAGCCGAGGACTACCTGCAAGAAGAACGAGAATAACCCTCCTTCTCTACATTTACAAATCGCCAGCCATTTTTTGGGGGGGGGGGCTAGGAAGGCCGGCTGTGCTCCCCCAAAACGGGACATTTAAGATAATCCGGAGCGGAGGGAAAAAAATAAAAGGAAAAAAGAAACAAGGATTTGAAAATGATGGTTGGAGAAAACCCAACAAAAAGACACATCAGGATTTCCTTTGTGTTCCCGCGCCAGGCGACATGTTCCCCCCTCCCCGTGTTTTTTTTTTATGGGGGTTTTTTTTGCAAAATGTTCTTTTCAAATGCCGGCGGAGGTTGCCACCTAGCTCGGGAAAAATGGAATTATTTTTCCTTCTTATCGACAGCCTCTTCCCTCCGGAGCTGAGCAGGTGGTGGGAGAAACCTTAAAATTTCCATTTTCTGTGAAAATAGGAGGCGCCCCAGGAATTGGGGAGGGGGCTTTTTGGGAATTAACAGCCGGGAAGAAAAGGCTTTAAACTACCAAAATACCGTAAAGCCTCAAACCTCCAATTTAACCTGTTGTTTTTCTTTCTTCGCAATGGATCTTTGCTCTCTGCTGCAAACTAGCAACAGATGCAGAGAGGAACTCCTCCTCCTCCTGACTTTGGACTACAGCTCCCATCATCCTGGCCCAGGGGATGGGGATGTGGAGAGCTGGATTCCTCAAACCGTTCCAGGGTGACAGGAAGTCCTCGATTTAACGACCACGATCGTGACCGGCGCTTTTGTCACTAAGCCACGTGGTCACCGTTCAATAAATCGCGGACTATTTCACCACTTTGCGGCGGACGTTAAGCGAATCGCACAGCTGTTAAGCCCCAGGTGGCTTCCCTCCGCTCATTTGGGGAGGGGGTGGTCGTAAATGGCGATCCACGCGACCGTCGTAAATCACGCCAGGGGGGGAATGAATGGTTCAAAAGTTTGACCGTGTTGATGCTGCAACGGACGTATGTTGGAGGACCGATTGCAGGTCGCTTTTTTCCCCAGCTTCAAGCGGTCATTAAGCGGAACAGCCGTTAAGCCGAGGACAGCCTCACTTTAATTCTCCTTTTGAAACGTTGACTTTTGTTTAGTGACCATTTGAAGTCACAACGCCAGTGGAAAAACGTGACTGATGAGCCTTTTTCACACTTAGGACCGTTGCAGCATCACGGGATCAAAATCCGGACGCTTGGCAACTGACTCGCATTTACGACGGTTGTCGCAGTGTCCCGGAGTCACGTGATCCCCTTTTGCGACCTTCGGACAAGCAGGAGCCCGATTCGCTTAACAGCAATAAATTACTAACTTATCAAGTGAGCGATTTGCTTAATGACTGCGGCAAGGTCAGTTGCAAAATGGGACAAAACTCACTTAACCAATGGCTCAATTGCGGTCGTAAGTCGAGGACTACCTGTACTCAGATCCCTTCCTGGCGATCAACCCTGGGAAAACAGGAATCCTGTTTTGGGAATGCTGGGGAAAATCCAGTCGCTTGCAGAGGAAACACCTTCAAAATAAAATACATGCAGGACACACCTTTGCCAGTTTTGTTCTGCGCACCGCAGAGTTTTATAAACTTTTATCACACTTGCAAGAAAACCAAAAATTCCGTCAAGGGAGCAACGGTAGAAAATCGAACACAGATTCCTTTCCTCTCCTCACCCCACAGGCTAGTCCAACCCAAACTCTTCACACTTCGAATTTTATTTTTATTTATTTTTTTCATCTCTGCCTTTGCATCTTTTTTCACTTCTCGGCAATGAAGAACCATACTGGATTTGTTCTAGATCGGTGCTTCTCAATCTCAGCCACTCGGAAAATAGGTGGACTACAACTCCCAGAATCCCTCAGCCAGCATGGAATCCTGGGAGTTGAAGTCCACCCATCTTCAAGCAGCCCCAAGGTTGAGACGTTTTTCCAAATCGGTGCTTCTCAACTTTAACCACTTCAACGATGGGTGGACTACAACTCCCAGAATCCCTCAGTCAGCATGGAATCGTGGGACTTGAAGCCCACCCATCTTCAAGGTGGAGAAACACCGTTTCTAGACCCACAATCCTGGCAAGAAGACCACCAGTGGAGACAGCAAAAAACAGAAAATCCATATTTTTGTGCTAGAAAAGCTCAAAACTCATCCAACTCAAGTAAATCCTGAACTGCCTCTATAAGGAAGACCCCCGAATCTACCCCATTTTTTAAAAAAACGAAACAGAAAGGGGACTTCAATTTTGGAGTTGTGGACAAGCGTCAACTGGGACAGCGGGACAGCTTCCGCTGCTCCTGGGCGAGAAGAGTCACGAGTGCGAATGACCCGCTGCCTTTAGCGTCATTCTTCAAGGGGATGGATCCCCCGCTTGTCCTCCTCCGTGGAGCCCCACGCTTGAATTTTGGGGGAGGGGGGCCCAGGAAGAGAGAGAACTAGGGGAGCGGCGAAATTGGGGGGGGTGAACCGAAACAGAAAAAGGAGGAAGTGCGCCCCAAAGTCTCCTCTCCTCCATTTAATGCACCAACTGGGCCGTCAACCAGTACAAAACTAAGGGCTGAAAGGCAGCGGCGCCTAGCGTGACGTACATCTGTGCCCGTCCGGTGGTCCGGCTCAGTCCGTCTTGTACCACCGAAGTGAGGATCTTCATCCGTAAGGAACGCACCTGGATGGGCAGAGACGGGCATCAGAAGCGTGTTTAGACGGGCACCTTGTTCGTCAACTAAATCTCTCAGCGCCTAGCTGGCTTGAGGGTGGAGTTCCCACGTCCATCATGCACCAAAGGGATGGGGTATGGATTTCATTTCCACCTCAACTTGAGTTTAACTTTGCTTTTATAATTTTTAAATAGCTCAAGGTGACGGACTTACGTAATCTTTCTTTCTTTCTTTTTTCTTTCTTTTTCTTTTCTTTCTTTCTTCCTTCCTCCCTTCCCTTCCTCCCTTCCTTTCTCCTCCTCGCTCCCCTGCACCACAACCCTTTGAGGTGGGTTGGGCTGAGAGAGGGGGGGACTGGCCCCCAAAGTCACCAAGCCATTTGTACCACCCTGAACACCGCCGGACTCACCATGAAATACATAAGAGAACAGGAGGCCCACGCCAGAGTAATGTAGTAGCCGTTCAGCCCAAAAATTAAGCCCCCGACCACAGTGAGGATCATCCTGGAGAGGAGAAATAAAGAATTGTGTGTGTTTTGTGTGTGTGATTAACACATCCTTCCAAACTGGGCAGGAATTAACGTTTTACACCCAAGAGCAAAGAACGAGCCATTCTCCCAATGCTGAATCACAGCAAAGGATCTTCATTTAACAGACGTCTGATGCAACGGACAAATCCTTCTGAAATAACGGACAGCTCCATTGTATCCATAACACTCTTAAGCGGTGCTTAAATTTAATTTTGAATTGAACAAAGTTAATTTCTGTTCTATTCACATCCTCCTCAATACTCAAGACATGCTGTTGAGGTTCTTCGCAGCTTCTTTGGGATTTAACGGACTTTCTCTCCCAATTCGTCTGTTAAATCAGGAATTTGCTGCCACTCGCCCAGCCTCAAATCGGTTGGACAACTATAGGAAACGGCGTCGAATTCAAGGAGCTTGTGTCAGTGGGGGCTTCTGGGAAACAGAGTTTAATCCGCGAAGCAGAGAGGTCCTTCCTAACTCACCCAACATATTTGTAGCCGCAATAAGCCAGAAGATCAAACGTGCCCAGATCACTTTGGACCGTGGTAAGGTAGAGACCAAGGAGAAGGGCGAGGACTTCAATCACCATCCACACAAAGGCCGTACTGGCGCACATCCCGAGGACCTCTGGGGAAAACCTGGGCGGGTAGAAAAAGTGACGCCCGAATGATTCACGGTCTGGCTTCCAACAGGCCAGCAGGTGTCCACAAGAGACAACTCACAACCATCCCAGCCTGACAAGCCATATCAATGGGGGAAGCCACATCACCAACGCTCATCTGATCAAAATTCGGACGCTTGGGCCCGATTCACACTTATGATGGTTGCAGGGTGGCCAAAAAAAGGTCGTAAAATGGGATGAAAACCCACTTAAATTCACGTAAATCGAGGTCCACTTACAATCTGCTCCTTGCCAAAGTCTACATTATGCCCGGCCTCAAATCTTCCACCCACAACCCAAATTCACCCCCTAACTTCCACCGCTTTCAGTAAGATGTAAAATTGGGAAGCAAAAAATAATTTTTCCGTACCTTTTCTGTATCCCCAGGGCCATCCCAGCCAGCAAAATATACGTAATGAAGGCCATACCTGTGGAGCAGAAAATATTATTTTTTTAAAAAAAAAGAAAGCCTCCAGATTTTGGAGTTGGAATTTTTTTTGTTTTCAATAGGAGAACTACAATATTGTGATTTTAATTTTTTTAAAGAGCACGGTCCAACAGGAATGTATTCTACCAGTTGGATTTCTCCAGCCCTTCCGTAATTAAAAGTACAAAATCAAAGTCCGTTCTTAGATAATGCCTTGCGATTACCTCTTTGTCCCATAAAATGACAAGAGTCTAGGTTTTTTTAAAAAAAATAAAATTGCTCCCAGCAAATCAGAACTAGCAATTCTATCTTTGGCAGGTTGAACATCAATTATCTGATCGATTTAATCGGATTATTAAATTAGCTCTTTTTATGCATTTCTGTTTTGAGATGGTTCGGGCTGCCCAACTCAAAGCATGTGCAGAGTTTAGCCTTAAAAACAAATAACAACAACTCAAAAATGCCAAAAAAGCAAAACTCACACATTTGGATATACAATATATAAATCAAAGAATCGTAAAAGCCTCATAAGTAATATCCACGTGGTCCTTGACTCAGGAACGATTGTTTAATAACTGCTCAGAGTTATGACGGCCTCAGAATAAAAAAATATAAAATAAAATGACTCACTAGGAATATACAGATCGGGAGCGTTGACGTCCTGGCGGGGAGTGAGAGGAACGTCACGATGATATTGAACTTCCCAATTCTACAAAAAAACAATTTATGCATTTGCCTATCACCAATCCGTAGCTTCCATCCCCTTCCAAAATTATAACTAAAAAAAAAAAACCCCCTTTATTTTTTTCACCAAATTTAAAAAGCGTCTAGTTCAATTTTTCAGCTGCAGAGAGAGCCTCGATCAAAAGTCTTCCCTAAAAGGAATCTTTCTTCTGATATTCGATTTAGCCTCCCAACGCGTTCCCCAATGTGTTTTCTATTTCCAGTGGCAATGAGTTCCACAGGTTAACCGAGCTAAGTGAAGAAATACATCTTGGCTGCTGGAATCTGACAAGACCCGAACTCTGCAATGAAGGCAGATCCCTTTTAATTCCTAACGATTTATAATCACTCATTTAGCAATCTTTCCAAATTATTACACTGGAAAAAGTGGCTTCTAACCAGTCCTCGCCCTTACGACCGTTGCAGGATATCAGTCATGGGATCCAAATTCGGTTGCTTGGCAACCGGCATATATTTAGGATGGTTACAGCATCCCAGGGTCCTGTGATTGCCATCTGTGACTTTCCCACCGGCTTCCAACAAGCTATAGGGGAATCCGGATTTGCTTAACGACCGCAGAATTCACTTAAGAACTGCAGTGATTTTTTTCCACCACCCTGGCAATAAAAATCCGGCTCGTGACTCGCTTAAGGACCACCTTTTTTTTTCTTTACCTGGTGCACGTAAGGGAAGACTAATACGCCTAATTTTTTCATCACATACGTCGTGTCCACCGCAAAGAAGTACTTAAGCTTGTTGATAGAAACAAATCTGTGAATCTGCAAGAAAAAAAAAGAGATTTATTCAATTTACAAGGCCGTCCGTCTCACTAGGGGATCAAGTCATCCACGTAAGAGTTTGAGATTTGATTTTTATAGTGTCTGGTCGAAATAAATGCTCCAAGGGGCATTTCATTGACGAGCGAGGGGCTTTGATGGTTGATGGCTGCTAGCTTCAAGTTCTAAATTTTATAGAACCGGCAATCAAATAAATTTGCTGTTTGCATTCGACCCACAGTGTGACTATTTTCTTACAAAAACTAAAATGCAGATCTGGAAAAGGGGCAAATCAGAAAAGGCTCTTAAGAATTTTATATATGTGTCTGTCTATCTGTCTGTCTGTGTGTGCATGTATATACAGTATATATATATGGTTCTCTTTTAAGCATTTTTTTAAATAGCTGTTTTTGTAAACATTATCTGGGGCTTGGCCTCGAAAGAAGTTATACACATAAACAATGAAATGAATTTGCCTTTGGGATGAAACCCCAGACAATGTTTACAAAAACTACCTGTTTTTTAAAATAAATGTTTAAAAGTGAAGAATGCACCTCACTTTTATTTTAAAAAGACAAGTCAACAGCCCTGTTTTTCTCACATGAGTGCGCAGGGCCAAAAATACAATATAAATTGTATAATTATCTTTACAATAGACTAGAATGCAATGCAATGGAATATAACACAATCTGTAGGATTAAAACTAAATGTTTAGGTTAATTAGTTTAAATGACATTTAGTTTTAATCCTCTTTTAGTTCACGTGCTTTTAAATGTGCTGTATCATTTTTTATGCCTATTTTACTTGCTCGGTGTTGAATGTTATATGTCTGTAGTTTGTAGGTGCTTCTGACACCAATAAAACTAAATGACTTTTAGTTTTAATCCTATATATTATGTTATGTTGCACTGCATTGCACTTGGATCAAAATATATCTATATCTATCTATATCTATATCTATCTATATATCTATATCTATCTATCTATATATATACACACAGAGACAGACACACACATATATATACATATACATACATACATACACATATACATACATACATATACATACACAAACAAACACACACACATATATTCTATATATATGGAATAGGGCCGAAATAAAGAAGCAAAGTGAGATTTGGAAATATATATACATATACATATACATATACATACATACATACATACATACATATAAATTTAAAGGATGTATGACCACTGTAACAATTGTGCCTCTCTCTCCTTCAGCAATTTTTTTTTTTAAAAAAAGAGGATTCTCAATTTTCTTTTTTTACCTCTTTATGAACAATGTCTTTTCCCTGGGAAGCAATGGAGGTGCCATAAGCCACGGCGACGTTAGCAACCGGGTCAGCAAAAATCTGGTTGAAACTCATGTCGATCCCCGGCGTGGGGTAGCCCGCTTGGGGTGGCCCGTAGCCCGAGCTGGTGTCGTCAAAGAGCTGAGGGGCATCTGTAGATTGTGGCACAGGGGGGATCCTGGCCCTGTGTTTGGAGCCTGCGAGGGTGGAAAAAAATTAGGGAGGAGGAGGAGAAGAGGGGAACCCCACAGCCAGTAGCCAGCAGCCCTCAATCCAGAATTCGCACTCGGCACATGCCTACCTGTGCTTTACTAAATCTGCCCTCCCGTTTTAAAGTTTATTCACCCTTCAATTGATCACCCTCTCCGAAGGGACACTTGGGGTGGCTTCCAACGGAGGAGAAACAAGACTTGAATATTTATTTACATCCTAAATAATTCACATCCTAAATAATATTTAATTTAGATGTGCATTTGATTTACTCCGCTTCTAAGCCCGCCATGCAACCCCCAGCAACATAGAAAATAGCTAGTTTGGCACACCCCCCCAGAACGGAATCCCGGGATCGACCCCTCCCCTCCCAGCTCTGCCTTGCCCCAAAATTTGGGGGTGCAAAGTCAAAAATGGGGTTGAATTGGCCAACTAGCTCTAGTGGGTGGTGGGGTGATTTGATTCAAGCCCGGGGTTAAATCAAAAATGCACCCCGGAAGGGCCCCGACCGGCCAGCCGGATTTAGGGATCCCGGAGGATCTGGCGATCCACTGGGATCCACTGGGCCTCTCCAAAAGCAACAGGCGGGGAAGGGGTCAGGTGTTAATGCTGGATCCCCTCCCGGGCTAAGATCCCCCCCCAAAAAAAAATCCTCCCCGATTCTCCCCCCCACTGGATCCACCCGGCCTGCCCCCCCTTTCCCTTCCCCCCCACCTACCTGGCCCCCCATAACCAGGAGGATAAGCCATGGCGCCCCTCGATCGCTTCCCACCCGCGCGCCTCGATCCACTCCGCCCCGCGCGGAAAAGGATCGACGGTCCTTAATTAAATTAAACCCCCCCAAAAATTAATTAATTGAAAAAAATAAAACCCGAGCAGCAAAGTTGCGAAGAGATCCAAAAAAAAAAAAAAGAGAGAGAGAGAGCGAGGTTCTAAGCCACGTCCTCAAAGGCGCCGGCGCGGCCCAGGCGGCCGCTCCCATTGGCCGCCGCTTGTATCCTTTCGCAGGCTCCGCGCGCCGATTGGCGGAGAATGTATCCATTTCGCCCGGCGGAGGTTCCAAAGGGGCGGGGTTTGCTCGCTTGGCGTTTCCGAAGCCCTTCCGCGCACGCGCAGGAGGGAAAGGTGGTGGGAGGGGGGAAAGAAAGGCGTTCCCGGGAGTTTGGGTGGCAACCGGAGGTTTGGGGTGCCAGGCGGGGGCAGGGGATGATGGGAGTTGGGGTCTAGCCGAGCTGGCGACTGGTGGGAAGAAGCGGCGGGATGCAAAGGCGTTTTTTGTTTTTTTTTGTGGTGGTGGTTGTTCAGGGAATTGCCTGTGGTTTTTTTTCTTACAGAGGTTCCCTCTGATTGGCTGAGCCGCAAGGCTGGGAAAGATGGCCGATCCCGAGCGGTGCTGGGAGTTGTAGTTCAGTAAGACATCTAGTGCAGTGTTTCTCAACCTTGACAATTTTAAGGCATGTGGACTTCAACTCCCANAGGTTGAGAAACACCGATCTAGTGGCTCACAGTTCCCTAAGCCTTATTTGTAAGAGCAGCTATCCCCAAACTTGGAAGACTCGGTGGACTTCAGCTCCCACATATACATATACATATACACAGGGCTTTTTTTGTCATAGAACGCCCAGGATGGAGTTCCGGCACCTTTTTGGGATGGAACCTTGTAGGGTAGGCAAGGCGGGTTGTGTGACGTGTGTGAGTTCTGGCACCTTTTTTTTTTTTTACAAAAAAAGCACTGATTATAACCTATACCATATAATAATAATCATAATCATAATCATAAAATAATAATAATAATAATAATAATAATAACAACAACAACAACCACTTGAACACCATTGGCATTGACAAATTCGCTATTAGTCAATTGCAAAAGGCAGCCTTACTAGGAACTGCTTCCATCCTGCAACGAGATCTGTAACACCATCAAACATCCACATCTGCCTATCCCAGGTCCTGGGTAAGGATAGGTACACAAAATGCCAAATCCAGTCTGAACATCTGGCTGACTGTGCGATGATCCATTATAATAATAGTAAAGTTGGAAGGGACCTTGGAGGTCATCTAGTCCAACCCCCTGCTCAGGCAGGAAACCCTATACCATTTCAGACAAATGGCTGTCCAGCCTCTTCTTAAAAACCTCCAGTGATGGAGCGCCCACGATTTCTGGAGGCAGGCTGTTCCACTGGTTAATTGTCCTCACTGTCAGGAAGTTTCTCCTTAATAATTCCAGATTGCTTCTCTCCTTGATGAGTTTCCATCTGTTGCTTCTTCTCCTGCCTTCAGGGGCTTTGGAGAATAGTTTGACCCCCTCTTCTTTGGGGCAGCCCCTCAGATACTGGAACACTGCTATCATGTCTCCCCTATTTCTTCTTTCCTTTAGACTAGCCAAACCCAAGTCCCGCAGCCGTTCTTCGTATGTTTTGGCCTCCAGGCCTTGGGTCATCTTAGTTGCTCTTCTCTGATTTTTTTCCAAACTCTCAACATCTTTTTTTGCGATGTGACCATATGTATATATGTATGTATATGTATATGCAGGGCTTTTTTTGTCATAGAACGACCAGTTCCGGCACCTTTTTTGGATGGAACCTTGTAGGGTTGGCAAAGCGGGTTGTATGACGTGTGTGAGTTACGGCACCTTTTGTTTTTACAAAAAAAAGCACTGTGTATACGTATATGTATATGTTCAAAATTTTGTGGTTGACAAAGTGTTAAAGGGAGACTAGTATAGCTATTTCAAGCTCTATTTCAGAGTGATTTGTCCTATATTTGGTAGACTGGGTGCTTCATCCAACGTATAGATATGTACAGTATATGTATATATGTATATGTATACAGTGCTTTTTTTGTAAAAATAAAATAAAATGCCGGAACTTACACGTTATACAACCTGCCTTGCCTACCCTACAAAGTTCCATCCAAAAAAGATGCAGGAACTCCGTTCTGGGCGTTCTATGACAAAAAAAAGCCCTGGTTCGTTCTATCTGTGGTTTGGCTAGATCTGTGTCAGAACGTAGTTAGTAGGGCCAGGCTTTATCTGGCTGTGGGGCTATTACAGATCTGGTGGAGGTGATGTTATCTGCCGAGGGCGACCTCTGAAGATGACATAAAAGACTTTGGAATGGGAGAATTTCCGGGACCCCCCCCATTCCAGAGACCCTGACCAAACTTAGTCCGGTGGTAGCCCAATATAAACCAGGTTAATTCAGGGCAGCCGCATCTGCCCCTCGCTGCAAGCTTTGAAGCAATCTTGACTTCGGGGTTATTAGAACTAATCTCCTGGGGGGGCGAGAAGGCAGAAAGGCGAGTCTCTTTGACCCAGGTTTGCATTCCGACGTGCAGTCGCATCTGCCCCTCGCTGCAAGCTTCCGAGCAATCTTGACTTCGGGGTTATTAGAACTAA